ACCCTCAGCCAGGCCTACACTTTGCAGATTGATTTTCCTTGATGTTCTGGATCCCAAGAGCAGCTCCTGTTCGCAGACGCAGCCCTTCTTCCCTGGGAAGAATCACTTGGTCATTTTCAGTGTCACACGCAGCCCCTTGCTGGGGCCTCTGTGGGTCCTGATCAAATTGTGGGCGGAGCTTTGTGTATCTGCCCTTGCCTGCAGGGCTGTTTGCTATCCTGACTTCCACAAGCCATTTCAGGAGCCAGCTTTTCCTCCCATCAGGGATGCTTCTCTCCTTTCATCTCCTCTCCCCACATCCCCCCACCTCGGCCCCCCCCCCAGCTACCCGCCCCGCCCGCCTTGGCCTCTTCGGCTGGCTGGCTGATTATTCTGGATCCCGCTGACACAGGTGCTTTCTCCCCGAACCAATCCGGGAGCAGGAAGGCTCAGCGCAGCGAGCAGAGGCATTGCTCACCGCAGCTGTGAGTTAGAACCCAGGCTTTCTAAATTGGGAGGATCGGGCACGACTTGGGGTTGGGCTGAGAAAACCTCACCTCCCCCTGCCTGGACTACCTTTGACTTCTGCCTGGGGCAAGGCATCTGCTCCCGTGCCGAGAGCCCAGAACCCCATCTTTGTGTCTGCATGCCAGCCACATCAGTGCATATTTCAAGAAGCTGATTGTGTGCCTAACGTGCCCATCGAGACTTGGCATGCAATGAAGTGGGGGGAGAGATGCAAAGACCAGGACCTACCCTCCTTTCCTTCCTCATACAGGTGTTTATTGAGCACCTACTATAAAGCAGATGCTCTCTTAGGTGCTGAGAACCAAGCCGTGAGCAAAGTAGACAAAAATCTCTGCTGCCATCGAGTCTAGTAAGGCAGACAAACGGTGAACAAGATAAAGAAGGCAAACGGAGCAGATGTTTGACTGGGGACCGGGGCCAAGGGGGGGGGCAAGCAGGGCAAGGGGGTTAAGTCCTCAGTGGGGATGCAGCCTTTGAGGAAAGACCTGAAAGAAGTGAGGGAGGGAACCATTTGGGTCTGTGGGGAAAGCCTATTCCAGGAGAGAGGACAGCAGGTACAAAGGTCCTGTGGTGGAAAGTGGCTGGTGTTTGGGGAACACGGAGGAGGGCCACTGTGGCTGCAGCTGGCGGAACAAGGGGAGATGGAAGGAGATGAGAGCGGGGAGGTGATGCGGGCAGGTCATGCGGGGTCTCACTGGCTACCGGCAGGACTGGCTCTTCTTCTGAGTGAGATGGGGGCCGTGGGAACGCTGTGAGTCCTTCCATGTCAGTTAAGCTGGAGTTTTCTTTGTTGCATGCTTGTCCCATTTCAGTGCTGCTGTTCTGTCATCAAGATCTTGGGTTTCTTACCAGCCCCCCTAGCCTGGGTGAGAGCGGAAGGCTGGTCCAGGACTCCTGAACTCTCCTCCTGGGGTCAGGAAGTGGAGGAGAAAGAGGAGTCCCCACCTCTTTGGGGATGACTCAGAACCACAGTTACCTTCCCCCCCCCCCCCCACCTCTGAAACAGATCTGGGGCAGCATTTCCCAAACTTCGGTGTGCACACAGACCCCCCCACCCCCCACCCCCGCCGAAGGTCTTGCTAAAATGCAGCTTCTGACTCAGCAGGTCAGCGAGGGGCCCGGGACTTTGCATTCCTGAAGGAGGCAGCCGGTGAGGGTATAAGGTCAGCGTCGCGGGGTCCCTTCTGGGGCAGGTCTGTGGACGTTGGCGGGGCCTGTGTGTGCGTGGAGGGGGAAAGAGGTAACACCTGATACCCAGTACTGCCACGTTGGACGAGAAATAAGAAACAGAAATAAGGTAGGAGCGGGCAGCCTCCTCCTCTTCTCCCCCATGCTGACTAAGGCTTCATCACCATACCCAGAGGGCCCCGGCTCTGAAATCCAGGCGACACTGGGCAATTGAAACCCTGAGAACGCAGCCCAGAAAGATGCTGCTTGCTGCCAGTCTTCTGGGACTCTTCCTGGAACCTCAGCTCAAGTCTGATGGAAAGGAAGTCACATCCCAGCTGTTAAGGGGCAGGAGGCCACGTACCCCCTCCCCCCCCTCCCCGCCAGGAGGGAGCCGGCAGGCAGCTCCGTGCCGAAGCGGGCAAGGAGCTAGTTGGCGGGGAAGGGAAGGGAAATCATCAGATTCAAATCATGGCTTCAGAAGCCTCAGCGAGGGGAGGCCAGGGAAGGGCTTGGCGTTGCTTCTCTGTATACAAATATTGTCTCTTATTTTCTGGGCTGCAGGGTGAGGCAGAATGGAGTATTTGTGCAACACAGCCCAGCTTTGTTCTCTGTGCTCCTAATGACTGTCAGCTCGGAGGCAGGAAGCCAATCAGAGGCGCTCGTCGGCAGGGCCGGCTTTTGTTGGCTCCCCAAATTGCCCTGAGTGTCAGATTTGCTTTTCAGAGTGTGCACGGAGCGCAGCTCAGCCGCTGTGAGCTGGAGGCAAAGGCCGAAGCTGGTGACAAAGAAGGCCTGGTTTTCCTGGTTTACTTAGACTCTTGCTCTCGGGTTGTCTGTTTCAGACTTCCTTCTCCCCACCTGGGAAGTGAGTCCAGCCTATAAGATCCCTTGGTTTTATGGAGCTCCCCAAATGCCAGACCTAACTTCAGGGCCCAAAGAGGGAACGAGGCAAGTTAAGCTTCCAACATAGAAAACTGGGAGGAGCCCAGCGGTTTCACGTGACCAACCTCACCAACACCTGCTCTTTGATCCTTCTGCAGAACAGTGGGTTTCCGTGTTCCTGGGGGACACTTGGCACTATCTGGAGATCATTTTGGGTTGTCATAGCTGGAGAGGGGGGGATGCTCCTGGCATCCGGTGGGTGGAGCCCAGGGCTCTACTCATCGCCCTGCAGTGAACCGCAGGTAGGGGAGCTCTGCTCCAGAGTAACCGACACCCTATGGCTTTCCCCACCGACGTCCCATTTCCTTACACGTGACCCGCTTGTAGCCCCCTTCTCAGAGATTGGTCAGGGGTGCCTCTGTGGGTCTGGCATGAGGCGGGGAGGGAGACGACACATTCCAGCTCAGCACCTGATCAGCAGATCAGGCCTTCATGTGAACAGAAGCAGGACAGACCCTCCCCAAGTACAGACGCTCCAGCGGGACTCTGGCGGCCTCGTCAACCCACAGGAGCGTCCCCGCGATGCAGGAAGGGGTTTGTGCCTGGACAGTTTGTACCTCTGGAAATAGCCGCGTGGACAACCCCTTCCCTCTGTCAGATCTTGGAAGGTCGGCTTCTCAGACGCCTGCCCTGACCACCATATTGGTTTTGTGGTTTTTTTTTGTATTGAGGTGAAATTCACATGACCGTATTAACCATTTTTAAGTGACGAATTCAGTGGCATTTAGTACGTTCGTAGTGTTTCTTGGACACGATCTGTCTAGTTCCAAACCAATAAGCGGTCACGCCCCCACCCCTTCCCCCAGCTTTTGACAACCACCGGTCTACTTCCTGACCCCATCGATTTGCCTGTTCTGGACGTTTTACATGCGCAAAATCACACGCCGCGCGGTCTCTTGCGTGCGGCTTCTTTGACACCGCATTTACGCTTTTGAGGTCCGTCCACGCTGTGGCGTGTATTACCACTTCATTTTTCTGGCGGGGTAATATCCCGCTGCGGGGACAGACCACGTTGTGTTCGCCCGTTCCTCCACCGAGGGACGTGGGGGTTGTTGCCACCTCTTGGCCCTTGAGAGTATTGCTGCCATGAGCGTGCCTTTCGGTGCCCTGTTTGCCATCCCCCGGGGTGTGTCCCCAGGATATATATCGCTGGATCGTACGGTAATTCTGTATATATTTTTTGAGGAACCACCGAACGGTTGTCTCTAAAAAGCCTGCACCACTCTACGTTCCCAGCAGCAATGCACAGAAGTTCCAGTTTCGCACATCCTCGCCAACACTTACTGATTTCTGTTCTGTTTTGTTTTGTTTTGTTTCCTCTAGTGGCTACGGAGCAGTATTTCATTGCGTTTAGATTGGCAGTTCCCTAACAGCTGAGGATATTGAGTATCTTTTTGTGTGCTGATTGGCTATTTAAATATCTTCTTTGGAGAAATATCTATTCAGTCCACTTGCCCATTATTTAATGGGACTGTTTGTCTTTTTGTTGTTGAGTTGTGATTGTTCTTTATATATTCTGGATACCAGACCCTTATCAGAGATATGATCTGCAAGTGTTTTCTCTCATTCTGTGCATCGCCTTTTCACTTTCTTGATAATGCCCTTTGATGCACAAAAGTTTTTAATTTTGATGAAGTCTGGTTTATCTGTATTTTCTTTTGTTAACTCACGCTTTCGGTGTCAGACCTGACTACTGTAATTTTTTTGGGGGGGGGTGTATTTATTTATTTTGAGAGAGAGAGACAATGCAAGCAGGGGAGGTGGCAGAGAGGGAGGGAGAGAGAAAATCCCAAGCAGGCTCCGTGCTGTCAGCACAGAGCCCGACACAGGGCTCGATCCCATGAACCGTGAGATCATGACCTGAGCCGAGGTCAAGAATCCGATGCTTAACTGACTGAGCCACTCAGGTGCCCCAAGGGCAGAGATTTTTGTCTGTTTGGCTGTAAGGTGTGTCCCCACTGCCCAGAACAGGGCTTGGCACCCACTGGGGTGCTGAATTAATATTTGTTCGTTGGATGTTGGAGGTGCGGTAGAGGAATCACGTCTGCGTTTTTCTCACAAACTTACCTGCTGGGTTTTTAGAGCAGTGAAACTACTCCGTAGGGCATCTCACGGTGGATACGTCTCATTGTATACTTGTCCAGACCTCCTGAATGCTGGGCGCCGAGAGTGAACCGTGACGTAAGCTCTGGACTTGGGGTGATAATGATGCGTCAGTGTGAGGGTATTGAGTGTAACAAATGCTCTGTGGTGGTGTGTGTGTGGGGGGGTGTGGAGAATGGGGGAGGGGGCAGGGGGTGTATGGGGACCCCCCTGACCCTCTGCCGAGTTTTGCTGTGCACCTCAACAAGTTGGAAGGATTTTCCTTAATTCCTCCGTACTCCCTTTGAATATATGATTTTAGCCACCATCATAGCAAACTGCATTGTCCTTGCCCTGGAGCAGCACCTGCCTGACGATGACAAGACCCCCATGTCTGAACGACTGGTGAGTGATGTCTCCCTGTCTTGAGGGGGTCTCTCTTTCGCTTGAGAGGCAAGTTGCTGTGGCCATGGGAGCAGAGGGCAGAGCGGGCTCTCGGACTTGGAGTCAGGAGCTGGATCGTGAGCCTCCCACCTGGGACCCCTAAATTCGTGAACACCGATAATCTGGGGAGCAAGATGCCTTCACTCCTCACCCCCCAGACCTGAAAAACCTGGTGCCAGCCAGGAGGGCAGTGGGTGACGGATGTCCACGCTGGCCACAGGAACATCGTATGAGAAACAAAATTCTCGTGAAAAAGATCGGCTGTATGTGGGAATGGAGAGAACAGTGCAATGAACCCCTCCATGAACCCATCACCCAGATCCACAGTTGTCAAGATTTTGCCTTATTCGTGTCCTCTGTCCCCTTTTACTTCATCGGTTTTGTCTTTTCTGGCCAATATATATGTGTATATATATATATATATATATATATATACACATATATATATACACACGCACACGTACGTGTATATATATACACGTGTGTGTATGTGTATATGTATATATACATATATATATATTTTATTTTTTTAACGTTTATTTATTTTTGAGAGACAGAGAGAGACAGAGCATGAACAGGGGAGGGGCAGAGAGAGAGGGAGACCCAGAATCCGAAGCAGGCTCCAGGCTCCGAGCCGTCAGCACAGAGCCTCATGTGGGGCTCAAACTCAAAAACCAGGAGATCATGACCTGAGCTGAAGTTGCACGCTTAATCGACTGAGCCACCCAGGCACCTCTCCTGGCCAAAACATTTTAAGGCAAATCCCAGACAACTCGTCAATTCATTGAAGTCTTGCATTGCTAAAAATATGGGCATTTTCTTACATTACCACAGTGACATTTTTACACCCAACGTGATTTACAGTGGTTCCTTGGAATCAGCTAAGACCAGTCAGGAATCGAATTTTCGCGATCGTCTCAGAAATAGCATTTTGCAGTTGGTTTGTTCAAACCAGGATCCAAGCGGGGACTGGATTTTGTAACATCGCTTAAGGCTTTTAATCTAAAGCCATTATTTTTTTCCCTCCTACCCTTGACTTATTGCAGAAAGCAGTCTGGTTGCCCTAAGGAACGTCCCACATTCTGATGTTAGCCTGGTTGTTTGTATATGATGTCATTTGGCTTTGTTCTTCTGTTCTCTGTGTTTCCTATCATGGATGCCAGCTCTGGGGGTTAAAAAAAAAAAAAAGCTACTCATTTGGTAACTCTGCGGAGCTGTAAACTAGCACCAAGATCCTTCTCGATCCCCTTACCCATCCCCAAGCCCGCTGTTTCCTCTCCTGGCATTCTCACAGTGCAGTGAAAGAGACTCCTTTCCTTTCTGTCACCTTTTCAGAACCACCGTAATGACTCAAGGGTAGGTAGGGGGATGTAAGAATCCACTGATTCCTAATCCACAAAGTATGGATGGGTCTCAAGACATCTAAATTTTAATAGTTACGAATTCTCATGTGTATTCTAAAAAATGTCACTAACCCGGCAAACCTACGATTTCAGGACTTTTTTTTTTTTTTGGTTTTGCTTAAGATGAAGCTAAGTAAAAAGAGTCAACTGGAAAAATAGGAAGCAAATAGTAGCCTGGCAAGGAGATACGGAAAGAATCGTGAAGGCAAAATTCAAGTGACTGGAGCTTGAGAAACTTCGTAACAAATCGGAAAACATCCGTGCAGGGGCTCTGATGGAGCCGAGATTATAGCTTAATTTCAAAGGTTATAGACTATCAGCTGGAAACCAGAACTGGCAGGAGGTTTAGTGAGGGGCTGGTGGCCAGGGCACTGGCCATTTGCCAGCAAATGCAGAAGTGTTATTCCCATATTTTCACAACCTGAACAGCTGTGCTGGTGCATACCAGTTGAGAACCATCACGAATGTCAGATTTGGGGGTGAGGTTGGTGTACAGGGTCCAACCTTAAAGGTGTTGGGCGATGCGTGTGACAAACATTCCAAACCAGTCCTTTCCTGTAGAATTTTCTGCAGTGATGGACATGCTCTGGGTCTGCACTGTCCAGTATAGCAGTCACCGGAACGTGGCTAGTGTGGCTGAGACGCTGAATGTCTTGTGATTTCATTTAAATGAATTAAAAGTTAGGGAGGCCTGGGCGGTTGAGTCGGTGAAGCGTCCGACTTCGGCTCAGGCCATGATCTCGTGGTTCGTGAGTTCGAGCCCCGCGTCGGGCTCTGTGCTGACAGCTCAGAGCCTGGAGCCTGTTTCAGATTCTGTGTCTCCCTCTCTCTCTGTTCCTCCTCCCCACCCCCCCCCCCCACCCCAACCTCGCACTCTGTCCCTGTCTTTCTCTCTCAAAAATAAATAAACATTAAAGAAAATAATACAAAAAAAATAAACACATGTGACCAGTGGCTGTCAGCACAGGTCCAAGCAAGCAATTCTGTTTGGCCAAGTGATAGGTGAGGCTGGCCGAAGGGATAGAAGGAGGGTGCCTTCTCCATGCTTCGGCTTCCCTTGCAAGAGCCTTCAGGCAAGACAACTCCAAGCAGGATGCATTGGGGGACAGTGAGTGCAGGGGTGGGGTAGGAGAGGTGAGGGAAAACGGGTAGAGGTCTCCGGGTGGGCGGGGTCCCTGATCAGCCCACCCTCTGCCCAGCCAAAGACCTTGACCTTGACCTTCTCTCCCTTCCAGGATGACACAGAACCATACTTCATTGGAATTTTTTGTTTCGAGGCCGGCATTAAAATCATCGCCCTCGGGTTTGCCTTCCATAAAGGCTCTTACTTAAGGAATGGTTGGAATGTGATGGACTTCGTGGTGGTGCTAACAGGGTAAGTGTCGGATGCTGTGCCTCTTAGAATTATCTCGAACTAAGAAGACTGGGGACCCATAACGGTTGGCGTGTCAGGCTGGGCTCAGGAAGGGCTGAGTCCCCGTGTTCTTCTTCGATATGCGTCTGGAGCCTTCTCGCACCCACCTCTGGAGCCTGGCTGCCTGCGACGGCAAGATGCTTTCGGCCACAGTTAGAATTAGGGCTTAGGAGGAGCTGACAGCTTCCAAAGTGCTTTACGTGCGTTCTCATTCAATCTTCTCGACGACCCAATGATTCAGGAAATCTTAATACTCCCCTGTGACCACAGGGAGAGCCGAAGCGCAGATCTGAACTGGCCAAAGATCACCTAGCTAGCGGAGCTGGAATTTGAACCGGAACTCGAGTTTTTAGCAGTTGCGCGCACGTGGTCCTTCTGCTTCACTTAGCGACGCCTTTCTTCCGAGGCGGTCTTTATTTCCAGCCGGTAAATGTCTGTGGAGGACTTCTGGGGGCAACGGTTTGTGGTAGAACTGTGGAGAAAACCAGTCTAGGTAAGGTACAGTGACTGCCTCCGAAGGGTTTTCAGATCTGCGTATAGCGCACCGTGGTTGAAAGGTGACTGTGTATACGCTTTCCTCCAGGGACCGTCTGTGAGGCGACACGACCTGTTACGACAGCAACAGAAAAAAAAAAAAAACCAACTGGGTAATGTCTTACACACGGCGGACGTTTATTTCTCACTGAAGGTCCCAAGTGGTTGGTCCCTGTCGGCAGGGCTCTGTCCTCCAAGCAGGGATTGAGGGAACCCAGGCCCTGGCCACGCTGAGGCTCCTCATTGTTGGCCCACATCTTCCAAGGACTCTGTGCTTCTCTGCGTCACGGCACAGACGAGAAACAAGCAGGGACAGGGGTACTCGGGAGGTTTTACGGGCCCGGCACCTGCCTCTTCCTTTCGTATTCTTTCGGCTAGAATTTATTCACGGGACACACATGACTGCAGGGGAAGCTGGGAAACATCAGACTGCGCTTAGGAGGAAAGGGAGACTGACTTGGTGGGGAGCCAGTCAGTCTCTGTCGTGGACCCGAGAGCCCTGTATTAGATGCCAGCGTAGGCAATGCTGTTTCTTGTGAATTTCTGGCCCGTCGGCCCACCCAGTCCTCTCCTCCAAGCTGAGACTGGCTCTTGTCCTCCAAGACCCCTATTCACCGCTGTCCTCTGTGGGGTCACTGGTGTCCTCTGTGGGGTCACCACTATCCTCTGTGGGGTCACCCCTCTTCTCTGTGGGGTCACCACTGTCCTCTGTGGGGTCACCCTTCTCCTCTGTGGGGTCACCCCTCTCCTCTGTGGGGTCACCCCTCTCCTCTGTGGGGTCGCCCCTCTCCTCTGTGGGGTCGCCCCTCTCCTCTGTGGGGTCGCCCCTCTTCTCTGTGGGGTCACCCCCTTCTCGGTGGGGTCACCCCTCCTCTGTGGGGTCACCCTTCTCCTCTGTGGGGTCACCCCTCTCCTCTGTGGGGTCACCCCTCTCCTCTGTGGGGTCACCCCTCTCTTCTATGGGGTCACCCCTCTCCTCTGTGGGGTCACCCTTCTTCTCTGTGGGGTCATCACTCTCCTCTGTGGGGTCACCCTTCTCCTCTGTGGGGTCACCCTTCTCCTCTATGGGGTCACCCCTCTCCTCTGTGGGGTCACCCTTCTTCTCTATGGGGTCACCCCTCTCCTCTGTGGGGTCACCCCTCTCCTCTGTGGGGTCACCCTTCTCTGTGGGGTCACCCCTCTCCTCTGTGGGGTCACCCTTCTTCTCTGTGGGGTCACCCCTCTCCTCTGTGGGGTCACCCCTCTCCTCTATGGGGTCGCCCCTCTCCTCTGTGGGGTCGCCCCTCTCCTCTGTGGGGTCGCCCCTCTTCTCTGTGGGGTCACCCCTCTCCTCTGTGGGGTCACCCCTCTCCTCT